TAGTTAAATATCTATAGTCTGAGTCTCATTCTTGTAAAAATATTTGTAATTATTGGTCTTATTGATCAGAGAAACCCCTAGTGGATTCTCAATACAAATTATTAAATAAAAGATAAAAGCAAAACCTCACCTTAAAAAAAAAATAAATAAATAAATAAATTAATATTAATAAAATATTAAATATTATACCTTGAACTGATAAATAATCTTTTGCCATTTTAGATAAATGTTTAAATTCATATTCATGATTCTATATTTTAAATATTATATTAAAAAATATTTATATTATTTATAAAATAAATTTAAAAATTATTATTTACCTTCTACCATAATAATATATCATCATATAAATATGAATTTATAGTTAGATTTTTTAAGTATATTTCTAATTTATTAGTATATATAGTTTTTCATTTTTTAAAAATACCTAATATTTTTTTGTTTGAAGATTTTCAGTATTAGAAGTTTGAGTTAGTTGATATTCAGATTTCCATAATTCTTGAATTTGATTTTTATAAATTTTAATATATTTTTTTTCAAATTCACTTTCTTTATAATAATCTATTCTAAATCTTGGATCTAAAACTAAAATATAATATTAATAAATAAAAATTATAAATTTTTAACAAAAATAAATATATATAATATATACTTGTTCCAATAATATAAACTAAACCATTAGCATCTGAATAATATTTTTTAATTTAGTTTGAGCTTTTTTAATTGTTTTCTTAATAATTGAATTAGAACAACTTATAAGATATTTTTCTAATGCATCAAGTAAATCATGATAATATGAAATAACTAATCCAATAGTTGAATATCTGCAATCACTAATATTAATAGTTACTTGTTCAAAATTCTAAATTATAAAATAAAATTAATAAAATATAAAATTTAATATATAAAAATTTTATAATATATATTTTAAATACTTCTAATAAATTTTGAATTATTGTAATTTGTTTCCATTCTTCTTGAGATAAAGAATAATTTTCAATTTCTTTATCAAGTTTTGTTATTATATTAATTGGCTAATAAAAAATAATTTATTAATAATAAATTTTAATATAGTAAATTTAAAATTTTTACTTATTTTTCTTAGTTCAAATACTCTTTTTAACATATAATATGTTGAATTCCATCTGGTTTTTATATCAAAAATTAATTCAAGATTATTAGGATTATATTGAAAAAATTTTTCTCTACATTGTGATAAAGAATAAATTATTATAATAATTTTTCTAAGCTTTTATAATAATTATATATTAATATAATAAAATAAATATAATTTTATATAATATTTTACAAATATTAAATTTATTTATTTACTTTTTTTACTGTAGATATAATATCTTCATTATTTAATAAAATTTTATTTTCATTAGGTCCTTCAGCTTTAAGATTTTTTAAAAGATCCTGAACTGCTAAATTAATTATATGTGCTAAGCATCTTACTCTTTGATTATTTATATCAAAATAAATTTCATCATAAGTACAATAATTAGCAAAATAACTAAACATTGTATTATTATTAGATGCATTATCAGTAGTAATTCCTAGTTTGCTCAGATTCATATTTTGATATAGTTTTATTTTTAACTATATTTCCAGATATAAGTTTTGCTTCATTACTTAAATATTCAATAATCTTTTTAAAACTAGATTTTTTAACAACTCTAAATGATTGATCATCACCAACTATCCAATTAATAATTATATCAATAAACTCCTCTTGTACAAATTTCTATAAATAAATAAATATAAATTATTAGTATTTATGTTATATATTTTTTAAAAAAATTAATAATATAAAAATTAATAATATAAAAATTTAAATAAAATATTTAAATTAAAAAACATTATATTAAATTAATTATCTTTTTTTAATTATTTTCTTTTCTAATTTATTTAAATCAATTTGATGCTTATTTTTAAGATGTGATCTTATTGTTCTAGTAGATTTATTCTTTGGCTTGGTATATTTAGTTCTAAAAAAAATTAATATATTAATTTAAAATTTTAACTAATAAATTTAAAAATAAAACTTACGAGTATAGTTTGCATTTAAATTTATTAGTATTGTTAATATAAGTATAAAATTTATAAACAATAGATAAATCTGTTGAATTATTAAATTCTTCAATAATAGTATTATCAAATGCAAAATCTTCAAACATATTAATGATAAATTGTTGGGAATCTTGATGAGTAAATTGTGAAAAAATTTGTGAAATAGAAGTTTGTTGAAAAGAAATTTGTTGAGAAAATTGTATAGATTGTTGAGAAATAGATTGTTGTGAAATAGATTGTTGAGAAATAAATTGTTGAGAATCAGATTGTTGAGAAGTAAATTGTTGAGAAGTGGATTGTTGAGCAGTAAATTGTTGAACTAATAGTTGTTAAACTTAGAGTTATTGAACTAAGGGTTGTTGAACTAAAGGTTGTTGATATGAAAAATCTTGAAACAAAGATTCTTGAGAAAATTGAGTTGAAAAAAATTCTTGAGACATATTGTAACAAAAATTTTATCAAAAACAATTAGATTTAAAAATTAAATTTTATTTAAAATTAAATTTATAGCAATTAAATATATAAATTTTATTAAATATATGATCATCATATATAAAAGTTTATTGAATTACAAATTCTATCATCATTATATACAATAGTTTATTAAATTACATGTTTATACACATATGCATATTATTTAAAACTTCTTTTTTTTAACTCAAAATAATATCTATATGTATTCTAAAAAAATATCCTTAAATATATATAACCAAGTAACTTAAATTTATAAATTATTGTATATACATATTCTAAAATAATATATAAGATCTCAAGATACAAATACATGTTATTATGTTATTTTATAATTAATATTTAAAAACTTTAAATTATAATATCTAGAAAATATAAAAATAATTTATAACAGCTTATAAAAAATCTTTAATAGTCTTAGTAAACCCTTTTATATAAAAAATCAGATATCATCATAGGCTTAATATTTATTTTTTTAAAAAAAAATACTTAGCCAAATTTGGTAAATACATTCAATTCACAATATTTCAAAACCTTTTAAACAAGTTTAATATATATTACTAGCAACTAATTCAAAATATTTAATGATCTAAATAATAGATTTGGTAGAAGTTGTTTTTGAAAATACATAATTAAAATTGTAACAAAGCAAACTAAGATGATCTGAATTAATATATTCAATTTATAACAGTAACTCGGTCTATAGAATACTTCAAAACCTTAGTAAACTCAATTTATACAAGAAATAAAATATTATTATAGCCTTAAATTTTGAATTGCTAGGTTAAACTCAATAGAATATACCTGATTCACAATATTCAAAGATTTTTCAACAAGCTTATTATATAGTATTAGCAACCATATGAATCAAATAAACCTGATTTAAAATATCTAACAATCTAGTAAATAATTTGGTAAAATTAGTTTTCAAAAATATATAATTAAAATTTGTCAAAGAAGCAAACTAAATTAATATATTAAATTAAATTTAATTCATAATAGTAACTTAGTTTATAGAATATTCTAACAACCTCAGTAAACTTAATTCACACAAAAAATTAAATTTTATCATAGACCTTAAATTTTGAATCACTAGGCTAAACTTAATAAAATATACCTGATTCACAATATTTAAAGACTTCTTAACAAGCCTATTATATAGTATTAGCAACAGAATGAATTAAATAAATCTGATTCAAAATATCTAACGATCTAGTGAATAATTTGTTAAAATAAGTTTTCAAGAAATATATAATTAAAATTGTCCAAGAAACAAACTAAATTAATATATTAAATTAAATTTGATTCATAACAGTAACTTAGTCTATAGAATACTCTAACAGCCTTAGTAAACTTAATTCATATAAGAAATAAAATTTTATCATAGACCTTAAATTTTGAATTGCTAAGCTAAACTCAATAGAATATACCTGATTCACAATATCTAAAGACTTCTCAACAAGCTTATTATATAGTATTAGCAACCAAATGAATCAAATAAACCTGATTCAAAACATCTAATGATCTAGTGAATAATTTGGTAAAGTAAGTTTTCGAAACATATATAATTAAAATTGTCCAAGAAGCAAACTAAATTAATATATTAAATTAAATTCAATTCATAATAGTAACTCAGTCTATAGAATACTTCAACAGCCTCAATAAATTCAATTCATACAAAAAATTTGATATCATCATAGGCCTTAAAATTTTGAATTGTTAGGCTAAACTCAATAGAATATATCTGATTCACAATATCCAAAAACTTTTCAACAAGCCTATTATATAGTATTAGCAATTTAGTGAATGATTTGGTAAAGTAAGTTTTTAAAAATATATAATTGAAATTATCAAAGAAGCAAACTAAAATAATACTTATAATCTGAATTAATAGATTCAATTCATAATAGTAACCCAGCCTATAGAATATTCTAATGGCCTCAATAACTCAATTTATACAAGAAATTAGATATCATTATAGGCCTTAAATTTTGAAATGTTAGGCTAAACTCATTAGAATATATCCGATTCACAATACCCAAAGACTTTTTAACAAGTCTATTATATAGTATTAGCAATCTAGTGAATGATTTGATAAAGTAAGTTTTCAAAAATATATAATTAAAATTGTCAAAGAAGCAAACTAAAATAATACTTATGATCTGAATTAATAGATTTGATTCATAATAGTAACCCAGCCTATAAAATACTCCAACAGTCTCAGTAACTCAATTTATACAAGAAATTTGATATCATAGACCTTAAATTTTAAAATATTAGGCTAAACTTATTAGAATATGCCTGATTCACAATATCCAAAGACAGCTCATACAAGCCTAATATATAGTATTAGCAACCAAATGAATCACATAAACTTGATTCAAAATATCAAATAATTTAGTGAACAATTTGGTAAAGTTCATAAGCATTAATTGGAAAAACCAATTATGTATTTACACACAAAAGGACCAGAAATATTAAACCAATGTATCTCAAATACTAATGTAACCAATATCCTTATCCAACTAACTAGCCTAGTATATTCCAAATGCACTAAAACAAATAATTCTTTCCAAAAAACTAACTAAAAATCTAACAAAAAACTTAGAACTAAAATATATAACATTCTATATATATCTATAAATAAACTCTAAAATAAGCTATAGACTATTTAAAGACTAATTAAGATATGCTTTATACTTCGCATAAACTATTAAATTGTTATACGCAAAAGTATATAAAAAGTATAATGAAAGTATAATGATTACACAAGCAAAGTTTAATCATAAAACTTGGTTGCATAACAATGTAAATATATATATAAATTTTACTTTATCATAAAATTTTAGATTAAACCACGGATTGCCCAGATTAATCTGTATTTCAGATTAGTTTCAGATCGGTTGGTTTAATCCCGAATTAACCATCAAATTGGCCTCAGATCAGCCTCAGATCAATTTGTATTTCAGATTCAGATTGGATTCAGATTAATCTTAGATCAACTGGGATTTTTAATCTGTTTTCAAATACTAAAAATAACTACAACTAATAATTAAATCATAGATATTAAGCTTAAAGAAGTATTTAACAAATTCTTCTTAATATTTACAGACTCACAAACCTTAACCAGAATTATTGTTTACTATAATATTACTCAAATCTTTAAACCAACTATTGCAAATTTAAAAAAAATTATATCTCAATTAAGTAAACCAATGCTTAATCATAAAGTTCAAGATTTTTGTCTCTACTATATTATATACAAACTTTGTTGCTACAAATTCTAATACTTAACAATAATAATAACCAATTACTACTACAAAATCTAAAACTTCTAAAATTAACAAGCAACAACAGTACTATTTTAATAACTTTACTATAAAATTTAAAATTTCTAAAATTAATAAAAACCTCTTTTTAATTTAAAATTTATTTTATATATTATACTTTAACACTTTAATTATATATCTTTATATACTCTATTATCCTTCTTATTTTATAACTTTAAATATTAAATATAGTCTAAAATTTTTTATTATATTTTATAACTTTATACTATTAAATATACAAATCTTATAGTTTAGTCTTACTTTTAAATTTTTTTTTTTTTTTTTTGGTTTAAGGTGAGGCCTTGCTCATATCTTTATTAATAATTTTTAAAATAGTTACAATGTAAATTACTACAGCGCAGTTAC